GAGTGCTTCTTCCGCCTGTAGACCCGCACGGGTCTAGGCGGGACCGGTTCACCCGGTCCATCATATATCACCTAAAATCTCTTTTTTCTTCTATTCTACCACTCCATTGAAGCGATGAGGTACTTGTATTCATTGTGAAAGGATGTCATTGATAGGGAAGACAGACGTTGATAGTGATTTTTTATGGAAGGTTTAAATGAAAGGTTAGAATTGATTAAAAGAGGGGTTTTAGGTGGTATATTAGTAAATATATAAGCTTAAGTGTTAAATATGTATTTTCAATAATTTTAGATGTTATATATGTAAAAATTCCTAAAATTAAATAAGTGTGCTAAAACTATGGTTTCACTTATTGCATTGTGTTCCTTCTGAAACTACTCTGATAAACTTTCCAGTTTTCTGAACTAAGCAGATTGTGTAGTTATATTTCAGTCTAAGATGTTATGCAGATTAAAAAACCCGCCTTTTTTAGAGTTATGTTCTTAATTTTTATTTTCCCCATTTGATAATCCAATACTGTTAAATGATAAAAATGGGATTTTATAATCTCGAAGTTGATCTCACTAGCGTGCTTACTATCTTCTTTATGCAGAGATGATATCTGGTTTTAAGCAGGCCAAACAAAAACTAATATACGCCATGTTTTTCCTTACTAATATATGCCATGTTTTTACAGTATATAATTGTATTAATTGTGCAGGAGTCGGCTATGTTGCGGCTGGATATGAGTGAATATATGGAACGGTTTACAGTGAGCAAGCTAATAGGATCTCCTCCAGGATATGTGGGCTACGGAGAGGGCGGTACTTTGACAGAAGCAGTCAGGAGAAGACCTTTTACAGTAATTTTACTTGATGAAATAGAGAAGGCTCACCCTGATATATTTAACATACTCCTCCAAATTTTTGAAGATGGCCACCTAACAGATTCACAGGTGATTGATCTGAACTTTATGTGCACATAAAACTTAAGAACTTAATTTCTTGTCTTTTTTAGCTAATTCTCGTCTCATCATAGCATTTTAAGTTATTTGTGGTCTAGATATAGACTGGAATTCCTCAATGGCTTGGTTAGCTTTAGTGGTCAGTCAAGGCTAGTATCGATTCATTGGAGTGAAGGAATTGTAGTGCGGAACATGAAATGAAATTGGATGCTTAATTCTTTCGCCTGTTTAATATCCCATATCTGAAATTATTTGGATTTAACAGGGGCGGAGGGTGTCATTCAAAAATACTTTGATAGTCATGACTTCCAATGTGGGTTCCACATCAATATCCAAGGGTAGGAGAAGCATAGGTTTTATGCTTGCGGATGATTCAGCTTCCAATTCTTATTCTGCGATGAAATCTCTTGTTATGGAGGAGTTGAAGGCATACTTTCGACCTGAGCTGTTAAACAGGATAGATGAGGTGGTCGTCTTCCGCCCTCTCGAGAAGGAGCAGGTTTGCTTCTTATCTTATGTATTTTGTAGTTTTCTCTCTCTAGACACTCTAAGGGGCTGTTTGGTAGCAGGATTTAGGCCGGATTTGAGCGAAATCCAGCCAAACGACCTAAAATGCAAAACCAAATCTCACGGCAAATGAAAGCTACCGTAGACAGAAAATTCTGCCTTTTCATGCTAAATCCCAGATTTTCGAAATCTCATTTTTTTGCCGGATTTATGAAATCCATTGGCTTGGCTTGAGAGGAAAAGTCTTCTGGTTAAATCTGCTCTATAGCCAAACATTCACATGAAATTTAATAGAATTTATTATAAATGTTACCAAACAGTTTTCAGGATTTAGACCCCTCAAGATTTCCAAAATTCGGATTTAGAGAATTTATGAAATCCTAGTCGTAAATCAAATCCTGAGTGCTACCAAACAGCCCCGAAGTGTTGTCTACTCATGTTTTTTTATTTCAATTACAATATACTTGGCTTTTGCATTGGGTGAAAATCTATGGAAATTATAGTGATTGTACCCAAAGTAACGTTGCCAGTTGCCTGTTCAGTTCATCATAAAACGCTGTAAAGTAAATGCAGCAAATGTAGACAGAATCTACTTTTTATAAGTTTCCTTTACTCTCCATTTCATATACAGTAAAACAAACAATCCCAATTCTAATTGTAAAATTCCTTTGGCCTGTTTATGTACATTTCTTCCAGTTTCAATCCTTCCATATAACGAAATCATATAAAAAACCTTACAATCTTTCTCCTTGTTTCAGATGATGGAGATTCTCAATATAATGTTGATAGAAGTGAAGCGCAGGCTGCTGTCCCTTGGGATGGGTCTAGAAGTTTCTGATTCAGTTAAAGATCTGGTCTGCCAACAAGGATATGACAAGAGCTACGGCGCCCGGCCATTAAGGAGGGCGGTTACGCAAATCATCGAAGATGTCATCAGCGAAGCGATTCTTGCCGGAGATTATAAGCCCGGCGACACCGTTGTGATCGACGTGGGTGCCTCCGGTAATCCCTTTGTGACCTGCTTAGCTGATCAAACCATCAAGCTTTCTTCAGATACCACATCAATGCTGTAGGCTTGTACAAAATGTATTCTTGCCCCTCTGTGGAGCTGGAGCTTGATGGCTTATTTATGTTAGAGATTCATTGGTTATTATTATTATTATTTGTACATAAGGCTAAATAGAGAGAATTCTTTATTAGGTCATGCTCAAGCATGTATAGAACTCATATTCATATTCTATATATAAGATATATTCTGTTTTTCTGTACTGCATAGTTGACTGGAATTGCTGGAACCATACCTTCCAGAGCCCTCTTTTACTATCTTAAATTAATTACTATAATTATCAACCCTAATATAGGGGAAATTTTTTAACTAAGCATCATTAGTTCTTTAATTAGGAGATTAAGCATTGATAAAAAAAATTAGGCATAATCGTCCGTTAAATGAGTGATTTAGCTATCATAGAGATTAGGGTTTAGATAATCACTATCTTGTAGATTGATGGAAGCTAGAGATTCTCTTTTTTTTTCTTATAATTAAAGTTGACTTAGGGTTAAAGATTACTTAATTAAGTTTTTAATAACTATTTCATTAACCTATTATTATTTTAAGTAAAATGAATACTTAAACTCTTTATTATAGAAGATTAAAAATAATATTGAAATGAAGCTTCAAGGCAGAAACTTACTGCTCATCTTTTTAATTGTGTTTGAAAATGAGAACTCTCTTTCAAAAAAATGATTAGTTCTAGAAATGAGCTCCAATCCTTTCCATACACTATAGTTATAAAAGTTAACTACCGTTTGAGTTGTGCTCTCTTCACCTTACAAACTTACCTTAGTAAGTTGAAGATTTGCTCTCTCTCTCTCTCTCTCCTACATTATCATTGCACTTTATCTCATTAGATAGTGTAACAATGCTAAGGTGTTTACATGGAGTATTACATCCAATACTTCTTTTTTTTTTTTTGGGAAAATTAGGGGCAATCAGGCCCAATTTTCATTTTGATAATAGAAATTACAAAATACAAGAATTATAAGAAAAATTAGAAAAACTTACAATTCTTGAAAAAATAAAAAAAAAATCATAAAAGAACTTGACTTAAAAAAGAAGTCAAGAAAAGAAAAGAAAAAAAGATACAAATAAACATGAAAAGAATCCTATAACCCGTCCAATCAAAGCTTGACCCCAAAAGCTCAATTGTGAAACCACTACCAAGAGCTAGGCAGTAAATCGAATGACATCTATTAGGGGTGTCAATTCGGGTCAATGGGTCGGGTTCGTGTCGAATCCGGAACTGACTCGGCATTGTTCTGGTCAACCTGAACCCGACCTATTTTAAAAAACGGGTCAGGTTTCCGGACCGACCCGATTTGGGTCCGGTTCAACCCGACCCGACACGAATGACCCGAAGTTGACCTAAAATTGCTAGTTTTCGTGTCAAAAAATGAGTCAATCTTTGATTTTCGGGTCAAAATGAGTTAATCTCGAGTTTTCGAGTCAAATAGGAGTTTTCATGTCATTTTCAGGTTGCTGGGTCAACCTGAACCCGACCTGATTTTTTAAACAGGTTGATTTGTTGAACCCGAACCCGACCCGTTTTGGGTCCGAGTTGACCCTAACCCGAATTTTTCCAGGTCGAGTTCCGGTCGTGTTTCTGGTCGTGTCAAAAATTGACACCCCTAACCTCTACCACCAAAAGCATCCAGCAAATCAAATCAAAACCTGTAAAATAAATAACCTATCTGACAACATAATAGGAAAACAAAACCAAAACACACAAAAAATAAATAAATAAATAAAGGAAAAACCAAACAGAACCAAGATCCAACAAAAAAACAGCCAACAACCGGACTCAAGAAAGGTTAATCAGAACATCACAGAAACTTAGAACAAAATAAAAGAATAAATTAGCTTCAGCCTAAGCAAAGCTAAAACCAATTTAACCCAAGCCGAAAGCTTCCAAAAACTTTGGTTCCTATAATTGACGATCCAGATTAACAAGAATTTAATCAGTTGCCCATCCAAAGTTATAAAAAAAAACACAGATAACCATATCATTACAGTCCAAAAACCACACAAACAGAGAAATTAGTGCAAAAACTGGTTGACCTCATGGAAAGAGTTCCAAGAGAAAATTTAAGAAAAAAAAACCTGCATAACAAGACTAATCAGCACATCCAAATCCTTAACAAGAATATTGCTAAGGCATAATGCTTATACCAAATAAAATTAAACCAATCAACCTTATTATGTCAAAAATAATATTCTAAATGAAAAAACTTAAACTGGGGATTAATCATCTCTTTTCATTTAATACAAGAAAAAGAAGAACTAAGAATGGGAATATTTGTAACATTAAAAGAAGGCAAATACTGAAAGAAATTAGGTAAAGATCAAGAGTTACAAGAAATGACATCTTTAACCAAGACTTTATGCCATTCAGAGTTAATATTAGGAATAATCTGAAAGTGCTCAGATGACACTAGAAAGTGCTCTGATACCACTTGAAAGTGCTCAGATGGCACTTGAAAGTTCGTGAGGGATGTTAAGCCCTTATGAACTGGCCCAAGGCTAACAAAGAGAGAGGTGAATTGGATAACTTTAAAACCAAAGATAAAACTGAAACCAAAATCACCACAAAGAAAACCAAATGCGGAAATTAAATGCGGAAGCAAATAATAAGAAAGAACACACCGGATTTATAGTGGTTCGGTCAAATCTTGACCTACGTCCACTCCTTAGAGGCACCCTCCACGTATTGCACTAAAGCAAGTGTCTCTCCTTTAGCCCCCACAGCTAGGCGGAGAAGCCCTTACAAAATCACTTCCACCTTCCCCGGTGCGGCGGAGTCGCCGGGTCCTTTGACACCAAAGAGATCTTCTTCTTTGGTGAACTTCCCTCGAGACAAGCCTTGAATCCGACGGTATTAAGGTGCAAGCCTGCCAGAGCAACCGTGTGGAATCCCCCTCCACACTCCCTTGACTCCCCCCTCTTAGGATCTTCTCCCTCTCTCAGACTTCACCCGTTCCTCACTCCCTTTCAAGCTTTATCTTTAAGTTTCTCCCACAAGAACGAAGCTACAATGGCTGCCAAAGACACTTACAAAGTACCTTGTCATAGCTTAAATAGAAGCTCTCAAAATGAGCTCATTAATGCAAGTTGCCGACATTATCGTCCAAGACTATAGGCATATCGTCCTATACGATCAGTACAATTTAAGCCCAATCAGCCGGGACGATTTGAGACGATCAGAAGAAGTTTGTTCATATCGTCCAGGACGATAATATATCGTCCTGGACCATCAGTACAAATAATGGAATATCATCCTGAACATCGCCCTGAAAAATAGCTATTCGGTGTCCAATCGTCCAGCACATCGGCCAGGACGATTTGGCGATCATCCAGGCCGATTTGATCGTGAAATCAAGTCATAATTGCTTTCCTTAAATTTCAGAGAAAATTGGAAAAATTAACCTAGATCTTCCTGGACGATATTTTATAGTCATGGATGATCTACCTAGACGATGTCCAAAAATAGATTATTTCTAATTAGATTTGGCAGCAGATTCTTTCTGAATTGAGCCTATCGTCCTGGCCGATACAAAATCGTCCAGGACGATGTGTTTTGCATAATGACGACTGCTTTAATGAGGATGTCCTAATTAGGGTTTCTGCTTTTGGACAAATCCTCCCGGACGATGTTACCAAAAATAGAAATCTTTAGGGAGCAACTGAAAATCTTCCAAGTTACAAAGCATCAGGAGCCACACCAAATACAATAGACTCAAGAAATGAAAAAGTGTACAAACTGACTCAGACCTAGTCTATCCAATCTTGAGCTGGTTCCAAATTGCAGTCTGATCATGTGGACCTAAAATGTTAGTAAATAAGGCCGTCGTAGAGAAATAAGAGTGTTTGCTATTATCAAAATCATAAACCATGAAAACAGATCCGCAACATAATCTCATAAAGAGATCTTCCATTAATCCAGGGATCCCAATAAAAAGAAAGCCAACTATCAACATAAATAATAAACTTAATTTTATACTTTAAATTCACAGCTAATTTACAAAGATTCTTCCAAAATAAAGAAGATTTAGTAGAAAAAGGCTTCCATAAAGAGCAATACTTAGCTTTCACCCAAATAGGCAACAAATCGTTTCTATTTAAGATTCTCCACATATTATAGCAATTAAAAGCATAATAAAGAGCATCAAGATCAAGAATCACAAGACCCCCAAAATTTTTAGGCTTACAAACATTTTTCCAAGCAATAACCCGTAACTTCTTAGAATTAATATTGCCATGAAAAAGAAAGCTAGAGCAAACTTTTCTAATGAATTTAAAATAGAATTTATGAATAATCATACCGCTAATCCAATAAGCAATGAAATTAGAAATAGAGAATTTGAGAATTTGCACTCTCCCAGTAAAAGAAAGAAGTTTAGTCTTCTAACCTGAAAGCATATCAATAACCTTATTAAGCAAAGGATGATAATCAGAGCCACAAAACCTTTTGATTGAAATGTTAATCCCCAAATATTTCAAAAAAATTTTGAGAATCAGAAAAATTTAAAACTTGACGGATATCTTCTCTTTCAACATAATCTTTAGAAAATAAAGCAATACTTTTACTACGATTGGCATAAATATCAGAACAATTGGAGAAATACTCTAAAATATCTTTTAAATTCTTAGCATTATGAACATAAGCTTTTTCAAAAATAAGAATATCATCTTCATAGAGAAGATGAGAAATCAGAATATCCCCCATTTTAAGCCTTCAAATTGAGATACAAAAAAACAGCTATCCAAAAGATTAGAGAAGGCATCCATTATAATACAAAATAAGAAAGGAGATAAAGGGCATCCTTGATGAAGACTAAAAGAAGAATTAAATAAACCTTCCATAGAATCATTCAGGATTATAGAGAAAAAAGTTTCCTCAATACAACCTTTAATCCAACTAATAAACTTGGTCAGATAACCTTTTTGCGCCATTCTGTTTAAAAGAAACTCAATATACAATATCAAAAGCTTTTTGAATATCCAACTTAGCATAGAAATATTTGATTTTATTAAAATTAAAATCTCTCAAAATTTCTGAAGCTAAAATAATATTGTCAGTATAAATTCTATTATTTATAAACCCATACTGAGTAAAGTGAATGATAAAAGGCATAACATGTTACATTTTATTAGTCAAAATTTTAGTCACAGTTTTATAAAAAAATATTGCATAAGGAAATACGCCTAAAATCTTAA